CTCCAGTCGTCGTAGCGTTTTCCTAGTCTTGGGCAACACAGTACTCCTCGAGCGCTTCCAGAATTTTTGCGTTTTTGGCAGGTTGGATTTTGCAATTACGGGGAGGGGGCTTTTGTAATTACGTTCTGGGATTTAGATTTTGCAATTACGCGGGGTTTATTAATATGAGGTGAACATTACCCCACGCGCCCATAGTCGAACCAAGACCCCCAAGATTTGCACCATGCTCTTTTGTTTGTCTTGTCGAGGTGCTTGGCCAACCACTGACCTTAGACCCCTCCCTCACTGGCAGCACGAATTTCAGCAGGGGCCAGCCCGGCTGAATGAAACCGTGGCTTGTGTCCAGGCAAAGAAGGCGACGGAAGCTCTGAAGGAGCTAAGCGGATACGCTTTGCCTGCTCTTGGACTTGGATTGCTCTTGGTCTGCCCCATGTTGCAGTTATGCAGTCGTGTTGCGTTGCAGGAGAATTTCCCGGATCTGTATTTGTACGATCCTACTCCCGTCCACAAGGCATGCAATGCTGGGTCAAAATGTCAGGCCACTACGCGACGGGAATGCGCTTGCCAGGCCTTGTGGCGCGTGTCGTCGCGCTGCACTGCTGTGCAGAAGGCACTGACTAACAGGGATCTGCCAGAGGCAGAGGAGGGATGCTGCGAAGCCCGTTGCGACAGGCGGATGGCCACGATGGCATGTACATCTTCACCTGAGTATCAGGGATGAAGGGGCACTCGGAATCAGGAGGCACAGGATTGTGCGGACAGTGCCAAGCTACAAGAAGCTTTGGCGAAGACCGCATGATTTGCACGTTGACATTTTTTCCATCTTGAGGCGCATAGCACGGAGAGGCAAAGACAAGCACAGGCTTGCTACTAAATGAGACCAAACGTCCCAATCTCTTGCTGTGCTGCATCAGCCGTGGACCTAGTCCACACAAAGCCTGAAATCTTTGAGGAGGCGCTTCTAGTCGAGCTAGCTTGCTGCTAGCACAAAGAGGTGCTCAGCAATCCTGCAGAAATCGTTCAATTAAATCTGAAATCAGATGTTTTCTCATGCGGGCCGTTTGATCCGGGCCTGTGGCTTTTGATTCAAGCATGAGAGCATGGGGCGGCGAGCCGCTGGACGGTGCGCGTTTTGTTTTGGAGGCCACCACAAGATCTTACAACTGGCATCGGAGTGTCATCACCAGCAGGCTTTGCCCGAATGCTTGCCAGATTTTCATAGGTTTGCACGGAAGCAATGCTTCCAGCCGCACCTATATCCGGCCGCAAGATCATGTCAGATCCAAACAGCTTGGCCTGACTGCTTGTGGGCATTGAGGCCTGCATTTTTTCCCACCTGTTAAGACGTTGCAAGGCACCTTCAAGCACCTTCATCTCAGACTCAGAGACTCAGCAACACCACCAAGCACAAACCGCCTACTTTTCAGCTTCGCCTTCAGGTTTGCAGACACCGCGGTGAAGAACCCTGGTGTTCGTTCCACGCTTAGAGCAGGAGCCTCGATCTGCCCCAATGAGCGCGTCAGCTCAGAAGAGTGAAACAAATATGGACAGCAGGTTTTCGGCTTTCGCAGTACAACTTTAAGTTCCCTCTTGGAGTCCGGAGCTCTTCAGAATTTGGACTTTGAGCACGCGGTTTTGATTAATTAGACAGGCAGACAAGACAGCTGTTTCAGTTCCATGCATGGGGCCATCATGAGCTCTCTTGAGGCACTACATTTTCTGTTGTCTTAGACAGTTTTCCAACAGAGTGCGCAAAGCAAGTGTCCATGCCTCGTTTTCTCATCACAGGGTTCTGGCAGGAGAAGGAGTGCGTGAATCTCATGTGCAGGTTGCCATGTTGTGTGCAGAAACGATCAAAAAACACGTCGACAGTTGGCACAAGATCAAGAGTCAGTTGACTAGCATGAGCAATCTGAAGACGAAATGCCGAGCTGTTTCAGATGAGCGCTTCCAACCCCTAGCTGGAGCAGAATTAGTAACTTAAAAGGATTTGTAAAATTGGCCTGGGGGTACACAACAAATGCAACAGATTGGCAGGCATCACTAGACAGACTTCAGCATGAGCTTCCTTCTCACAATGCAGACGCAGTGTTAATTGCGCGATGCCATCGTCGGGTGACGTAGCAGGCCACGGGTCACACAGGGGTGGCTTTGTATTCGGCATGCTGTACAGTATACAGGCAGGTGTTGCCGGTGCTGTTGACAAACTTCGTGCGAACTTCGTGGAGGCATCCTGTTTCCCTCTGATGAGCATGATCAACCTTGTTTTTGCTCGAACTGTCGGCAGGTGCGTCATGGCAGACGTTTACTCCTCAGCCGCAGCTGCAGACATGCAAACTGAATCCATTGAAAAGACCAGGGAAACGATGACTTGGAGAAGCAGGCGCAGGCGCACGTTTCTAGAAACTCAAGTTGAGACCCTGAAATCCACATGAGACGGTTGGTCTTGCATCGGAGAAGCTTTAGCCGAGACCGTGGGGGGGGGATATCCGTCTTCGTTTTTGCCTTGCATTTTACTCATTCACAAACTTAGAATCAGGCGCATGCCTGGTTCTCTGCCGCAACGCCCCTCGAAAGCGCAGATATCGTATCCGGCAGTGATTTCTTAGGTTATGCATTGCGAGAGTGTAGGTCTTGTAGGTGGTGCGGCGAAGCGAATGGCTTTGCGATAGTACAGAACTTTGCTTGAATCCCGTTCCTGAGTGGAGGAGATGGCTGAAAAGGCACTTCCTGCAAGCATTGCTCCAAGTCGCAGTCACTTGCAACGGGAAGAGATCTTGCAAAACGTTGCAGAAACTTAGGCCTGCCCGAAGCTGCTCGACGAGCAAAGCTTCCTGCGGTCAAGCAGAAGATCTTGGAGAGGCTAAAGGCTCGTGCATTTCAGGTGCAGCCGCTCAGATCTGCACTCGGGACATTTTTCGGAAGACACAGGCACAGAAAGCCGAACAGGCGACAAAGCCAGTGGCCAAACCAGGCGCACCGTGTAAGCGGACAATGCGGACATCGAAGAAGCATGCGGGGTACTGAAAGGTGTCAGCGCTGCATGATTGGTCATGTGTGGCAGGTGCAGCACCGCCTGCTCCAGCAGGTGGACCTCAGGCAAGGTGCGACGTAGCAGCGTAGCCCTCTCCGAGGCAAGGACTTGGAGTGACAGCAGGCGCCCGGTCACATACCTCCTCCTCCAAATCAACCGCCTGCGCCGCCTCCACCGCCTTCAGATGTGGCAACCGGCTCAGTGCCAGAAAGCTCAAAGCCTGGGCGGGAGCCGTACGCACTCAAATTGGCCTGCTGCTGCCAGGGTGTCGCCATAGCTAGACTAGATGGTGTGGAGATCTGCGGTGATGAGCCGTGGTTTCGAGCTTAAAGTGCTCTGCTCATTAGCACTTTCTTGCATGCAAACCCATCATGCTTGGAGGATTTGACAATTTTTGCGACCCAATGACTACACTTAACAATTTCACGCCCAGAGAGCACGGCATGTGCAAATTCTCCTGTTACTCTCACATCTTGCACTTTTTACTCACAGCTGCTGGCTGCCAAAGCACCGATTGCTAGCAAGGATTCACGCAGGAACATGCAGGAGCTTCACCTGTACTCTGCATGTTGCTAGGTTTGCAGGCTTTGCTTCATCAACATCATCAGTTTTGGACTGGAAGCCTGAGTGATTTTTTGCAGCTGCCTGGGCAAGAAACCTGATATCATAGGTTTGCAGACGCAGTGGTCCGGCGACGCCTTCGTGAGTCGGTGGGGGCCCCAATACCCCTGGTCGGGTTATCTCACATCGGCTGGGTTTTTTACACATCGAGCAGCGTCCACACTGCGGGACCCAGTTCAAAAGCATACGCTTGAGTAGATGTCGTGCAAAAGCAATTCTCGCAGCTGTGCTGTTTCCACAGCGTCCACAGGGTTTCAGCTCATGATGCGGCATGTTTATATGGCGTCATTGTATCTGTTGAGAAGCGTCCACACTGGGGGACCCAGTTCAAAAACACTTCCTAGAAAGATGTCATGCATGTTGCATGCTGTGCTTCACTCCTGGAAATACTGGATATGACACAT